AGTTTTATTTTGTGACACTTTTATGGTAGGTGTATACATGCATGTTTGTATACCTATTGTGGTGGTGGTATGTGTGAGAGAGAGAAAGAGAGGGAGAGAGAGAGGGAGAAGGAGAAAGAGAGAGAATATTTCCTACTATGAGTTGAGAGCCTCAGAACTAAGAATAGAGGATGGTCTCTTGGTCTTCTGTTTGAGCTCCAGCAAGGCAAGAATGAGGACTTACTTGGCCTTAGTAGCCCCCAGTGGTTCATATATAGCTTAGCACATAGTATGTTTTTTGGGGGAAGAAAAAGTCTAGAAAGAAGAAGATGATTCCATAAGCCAAGATTTTATTTTCATTTTGTGCCATTTAATATTCTAGATTCTAAATTTATCTGACTTTGCTATTTAGTATTCTTTTGCTGTGTAATTTACATATAAGAACTAAACTTGAGTGTTGCAGTTTCAAGAGTTTTGACAGATTTCTGTGCCCTTGTAACCTACATATTTATCAAGATACAGAATAAATACTTTGATGAAAGATATATTCTCATTGCCCTGGAAAACTTTTCTTGTCTCTTCCCAGTCAGTGCCCTGCCCCCTGGCAGCCACTACAGAGACTTTTCACCAGAGATTAGTGCTGCCTATTGTAGAACTTCATAAAGATGGGTAATACAATATATACATTTCTTGTGGTTCATTTATGTTGCTCCGCATGTTTTTGTGCTTCCTCCAGGTTATTTGCATGTATCATTAGTTTCTTCTTCTTCTTGCTGTTCTATGCAATAAAAAGGACTCCACATGTGCTTTGGTAATGGACCAACAGTTAAAGCAGCAGTGCAGAGCCTGGGATATTGGTGTCCCGATCTTGCCACATCTGCTTGCTTATTCCAGTCCATTGTCATCTGTGTTGTATATGGCATTTTTGCCTCTTTCCTAGGAGTCTGAAGCTCTATGCATATTTAAAGTATTGAGGGTAAGTGGACAGGAAGTTATTTCTGTAGATACCATTACATGGACACAAGGCCTAGTCTCTAATTTCTTTTTATACTAACATACAAGATTTAAACTTGGACTAAGAAGCCACATGATCACCTGACACACACCAGGAAAATCTTGACTTCAGGCCAAGAAGACATTCTGAACTCACTTGATAGTGTCTACAAACTCTAGGCTCCCTGGAGTGTAATTTTCCTCCCCTGTATTCCTGTGGCTCTCTCAGTCTGGGAGCAGGTGGATAAATGAAGAGCAGTGCGTCTGTGCATGGCTGGAATGTTGCGTCATGTACACAGGCTGTGTTTATGACACCCTGTGTACCCAAGTCAGGCATGAGGGACCTTGGCTTCCCCTTTAGGAAATTTATTAAGTGTACTTACTTTTCTCTTCCATATCACCTTGAAGTGGGTATTACGAAACACCCATTTTTCTTCACAGGTCTCTAAGTGAGGATATCAGCCGGAAAAGGGTTAATGAACTATCAACACAAGTTATCACACATCTAGATGGGCTGTCATTAAATTCTTATAAAAATTTGATTTCCCCTGAGAGGGTTTTCATCAAACATTTATATAACCCAGAGATGGCCAGGGGAGCCCAGGGTGGTCACAGAACTCATCAGAAGCCATGGAACACATGCTTTGTCCCCAGTGTAAGCAAAATAACTAATGTGCTGCCTCTACTCTTGGGAGTCTCTGTGGAATAGGGCGAAATGTTCAAATCTCATTTATCTGACTTTGCCAGATATTGCTTCTCTGCTAGTCTCAATTTCTGCAGGTATGTAGATAGCCAAGGATCTTGAAAACCTATTCCAAATCTCCTGGGTTAGCTGGAGACATAGGAAAGCTTGGGGAACATTGTAAGATCCCCATTCACTGCTACAGGATGGTCATAAAATAGGGTCGGTGCTGTGGCCCCTGGAAAGCTCCCTGCTTTCCTCAAAGCACTTGCAGTGAGCAAAACAAAAGCTTCAGGGCTGCATCTACCTGCCTGACTTAGGTCAGTAATTCAGCCCATGTAGATTGCTTTCTGAGAGGCTATTTTCTTGTGGCTTTAGTCAGCTGAGCTTCATTAAATACCTACTATGAGCAAGACCTAATGGGGAGGGACAGAAACAAGCATCAGATACTGGCCAAGCTCCCAAGGAGCTCATATTCTGGTTGGGGTGATATGAAATGGCAAGGCACAGAACTGGGGCAGGGACAGGGAGAGTGGGATCCTGTGTCACAGGAGAGCTGAGGATGAGCATGATTCTGAGTGGAGGCTCGTTTCCCAGAAGCTGGGAATTTGGTTAATATGTTGAAGATTAGGTCCAGTCCCAACAGATGAGAGGAGTGAGGCAAATTTCTGGAAAGAACAGCTAGGAGCTGTAGGATAGAGGTCAGTGGATTTGGGGGTGACGATTGGTCTTTGTTAGATGTCTAACCGGTGTTAAATATGTGTAAATGTGTTGCCTGGTATCAGCCTCACAGCTGTCTGTGAGGCTGGCAGTGTCCCTATTTGAGGGAGAGGGATTAAGTAGCTTATTTATGGTCACACAGTTGATTAGAGACCTGTGCTTTTCTGGCGCTCTGCTCTGAACAGAGTATGTCATTGGATTGGAGCAGAAGAGGCCATAGGAGGGAGATCATATTGAGTGGGCAGACTGCACACAGATCACAACTGACTCTGCCTGTTTGACTTTCCTCAAATTAGTTACCTTCACTGAGCCTCAGCTTTCTAGTCTGGAAAATTAAGAGAGTACTGACTTTATTGGAGTACTTATGAGAATTAAAAATGTAGAATGAAAAAAAAATGTAAAATGTACATACTACACTTAGTACACTGTCTGGCTTATACTAAATATACTCAGAGAATGGAGCATTTCTCTGCCCTTCCAAACTGAGAGAAGTGGGACTTTAACCCTAATGGTGGCGGGAGAGAGGTGAATCTCAGGTTTCTTTTAATCAAGGACATAATGAAAGCCACATTTGAAGACAAAGCAAACCGCAGTGGCATAAGGTAAGGGTATGCATTAAGGTAGGGGTAGTGAAAGTGGAGAGGAAAGGGAGTTTCCAAAAGTACTAAAGGTTCCTGAAGGGCATCCTGCTCCCTCCAGGTCTCCCTCACATACACAATGCAGGCAGCGTTACTTGTGTTCATGAGACTTTAGATGTAGAATTCATCATGGGGTCTAGAGCAAGCCAGGCAGGAAGCCTTACGGGTTCAAGGGCAGCCTGGCTAGTTCAGTGGCATCTCTGGAGGAGGGTGCACGTGCAGTCTCACAATCAGCCGCTTTTGTCTAGCTTCCATTTGCTTTTCCTTCCCAACTGAATTTAATATCTTTCCATCCTCTGGCTATAGTTAAGCTGTGACTGCTGTTATTCAGCGGAAGCTAGGCACCTGCCAGAGCCTTTTGGCACTGAACCCAGAACCCAGCCCAACGGGTGCTCTATCACAGAGTTTCTCGTCAGATGCCTAGAAGGAGGAGGTCTGTTGGGTGTTTTTTCTTCCCCAGTAGTGGCTGTTCCCAGTGTGATCATGATGGGAGGGAAAAGCTAAGGGAGAGTTAATTTGATGCTTGCTTATGCGATGAAGTGACAATCAGGCAGATGGCCTTACTGTAGCCATAGATTCTGCTCTGCTGTTTCTTCTCAGGATCTGGACTGAAACACTGCTAAGCAATTAAGAGGATAATGGATGGCCAAAGAATTTGGATCTCTGGGTCCTTTAGGAGGGGTAGGGAATGTTGCCATAGAGTTGCAGAATGCCATTGCTGAGAAAAGGCTTAGGGTTCACATTTAACCCAAGGATTTTCAAAATTTTGCTCTAACAGAAGAATTTGTTCTTCAGTTAGAACCCTAGTATCTTACATAGAAAAATGTCTTGGTTGAGAGAGAGATAGGAGCTCCATATTCTGCTACTTGGGCTGGACTTCCACTGCCTTCTTAAGGGCAGCCTGGGTCTGGCCCAGAAATTCAGAGCTCTGAGCTTCTGCTTGAGAACCACCAGCCTGGCCAAATCTGTTCATTTTGCTGTCATAGGAATATGTTCGGGTTACTTTGCTCTGCCTCCAGGGTTGGTGTGTTTTTTTTTTTTTTAAATACAGTTGCTTCTCTTATATCATTTCCTTTCTTCCTTCTTTCCTTCCTTCCTTCCTTCCTTCCTTCCTTCCTTCCTTCCTTCCTTCCTTCCTTCCTTCCTTTTGTCTTTTTTTCACATTTGCTGTAGAAAATCAAAATCCATTTTATAATATGAATTTCCCCAGGAACACATTTATTTATTTATTTATTGGTCTTTCTGAGACAGGGTCTTGCTATACAGTTCAGGCTGGCCTTGAGCTCACTTTGTAGCACAAGCTGGTCTTGAACTCGCAACGATCCTCCTGCCTCAGCCTCCCGAGTGCTGGGATTACAGGCGTATGCCACCAGGCCCAGCTTCCCCAGGAACACATTTAAAATTTTGGTGTTATTCATGCTGTTTGTGTAAGGGGAGCTTTGGCCCCAACTTACCGTTCTGCAGCCCAGTGCTGTTCTAGGAGGCAGTGGGGTTGGTGACCCATGGATTCAGCCTCCATTCTTTCCTTCTTCTTCTATCCAGAGCAGGGTTTGTATAAATTAACTACTGTTGCAGCACTCTGCATTTTTGATCCCTGGCTCCTGAAATGGCCTGGTGTGGCTGGTATGTAGTGTCTGAGCTACAGTGACCCTTAGGGAATGGCAGGCTGTAATGTTATGATTGCATTTTGTCATAAATGGCGTCACCAGGTAAACCTGAAAATAAAAGAAAATTCTCAACCCTTCTCATATTTATGGAATAGCACTGTACAGAGCTTGATTAAATCATACCTTTAGGCTGTTATGGGTCCTCTTCCATAAGTGTTGACCTAACAGTCCATTGTGAAATTTCACCCAGATCTCAGAAGTCCACCTTTCTGCAGCATGGCCAGTTGCATGAATGTGGTCAGATCTACCGTGGAGACCACCCCTTTCTTTTAAGCCTTGGGGCTGTCTATGGTGTGCTCATGTGCCTTCTCCTTCCCACAGCAGTGTTGTGACCTAGGCTACCATGCTAGCCTGAACCGGGCCCTGCGCACCTTCCTGTCTGCTGAGTTAAATCTGGAACAGTCAAAGCATGAGGGTCTGGATGCCATTGAGAATGCGGTAGAAAACTTGGATGCCACCAGTGACAAGCAGCGCCTCATGGAGATGTACAACAACGTCTTCTGCCCCCCAATGAAGTTTGAATTCCAGCCCCATATGGGGGATATGGTGAGGCCCTGCCCATATTCTTGCTCCCCCAAATGAACTTGAGTGCTCTTGTGTGTAGCTTCACTGCACAGAGATTGCGTTCTTCTGAGGGCTTCCTGTCGGGTGGGGAGGCACATTTCTCTCATTCAGCAAACAGCCACTGGCAGCCTGCTGCCCTCCAGGCCTGGCTATGGATTCTGAGAATTGGAGCCCTCAGGAAGCTTACAATCTGGAGAGTGAGGGAGCTGAGGTTGGGAAAGAGAAGAAGGCGCAGGGAGGGGCAGCCAAAAGGAACAGCTGGTGTGTCTAAAAACTACTCACAGCTCAGTGGTGAGAGGAAAGTGAGGGAAGGGGTGCCTGCAGTGGTATGGCTGGAAGAAGGGAGAGCTGAAGTGGAGCCAGGCCCAGAGGCTGGGGAGGGGGAGCTAAACAGAGGAATGATGTCATCTGTTAACATTTGGCAGAGTTCAGAAGGATCTCTTCTGGTTTTATAAGACTGATGAAGGAGCTAGTTTAATGTAGGTATTAAACAAACCAGAATGGGTTCCTCCAGAAAGGACAGATGCTAAGATGCCATCTCCAAGGAGGCATGATGCTGGTTGCTTAGACAGGGTAGCATGAACACCAGGGCCTTGTTACAGATTCCTCAACCCCAATAACTGAAACAAGAAAGGCCTGCATGAACTGAACTGAGAGGAAAGAAGCTCCATAGTTTCCATTACTCTGAATATTTTGGTTCCACTTCAAGTGGTTGTGCATCCAAATCAGCGTAAACCTCATTCCTATAGGTACCATTTCACCTACCAAATTAGAAAGAGAGGGTGTATAGGCTTACATTACAGAAAAGATCAAAATGGACCTTCAGGCATAGTCGAAAGTGAAGCAGGAACTATACCAACACTTGCTTATCCTCCCTCTATTCTCAGATAGGCCTTTCTGTGGGGCAGGGTGGCTGTGTTTCCAGCTGTGTCTCCCTTTCAGTTGAAGTCCAGTGGAAAGAGTATCTAGCTCCCTCTTCAGAGCTGCTGGAAAGGTCTCACTGCGTTTCACTGGTTTTATTTGGGTGATGTTTGTTTGGGTGATGTTTGTCTCTGAGCTGGTCATTGCAGCTGGGTACCCACTGCCTTACTGGGTTATGCCAGGGTCACAGATCTGTCCAAAGCACGTGGCCTGAGTAGTGCAGTGGGCGGGTGGGGGCTATCCCAAAGGACTCTCAAATCACAATTACCAAAGGAGTCTAGATTCAAGGGAACTAAACAGCAGCAAAGAGTGCTTCCCTAGGAATAGCATTCAGACACTTTAGAAAGCGCTGCTCCAGAATGACAACTGTAGCAATGTAAGCAGAAGATTTGCTGTCATCAGTAGGCCACCATGGAGAGTGGGACAGTTCTATCCTAAAGACAAAAACATGGGGATAATTTCTTTCCTCTCCTTCCTGGGGAAAACCAAACCCTTGCAGTGTGTTTCCATTGCTGTAGCTTAGGAGATTTCAGCGTCTGAACAGATGGGGAGGTGAGATGACAGCGTGTGCAGTTACAGTTGAGGGAGGAGTGTCACCAACCCCCAGGGAGCTCCATTCCTCACCTGCTCTGGCTTCTGGTCAAACTTGCCTTCCAAGCCCCTTCTCCAGCTGCCACTGGGATTCCTTCCCAAGAATCGGTGGAACTTGCGGACGAGCTGAGTGGAGTGATACATTTTCTGGTGTTGACTGAGTTGCCTTCTGAACCAAACAGCTTGTCTCCATAAAGGGGAAATCCAGATGCTGGGTACTTGGGCCCCCTCCCAGCCCTGTCAGAACCACATTTCCATACTCCAGAGCACAGCTGGAATGCATTACCTTGTACCCTGGTACAGGATCACTGCCAAAGCATGCATCAGCAGCTCTGCTGCTGCTTAAAGGAACAGGCGTGGAGGTGGTTTTTTCTCCCTGCTAGGTCTGGGTGACTTTAAAAATCAATAGCTCATTCTTCTGCCTGAGCACTTTTTTGTGATAGAGCTGATCAATGGCTGAGCCTGGCAGAGAGTCCCCATTCTTACCTAGTCTTCATAAGAGTGGAAAATAAAAGGAGATGAGAGAGAAGACCATCCTTGGTCCCTGCAACCAACTTATCCTCATTGGTGTGGGTTTTCTGTCAAATGGAGGCAGCAGGAAGGAACTGCCTGCAAGTCCTTGAACTAGGGTCAAATTTGGGGTGATGTTCTGACTTAAAGCCCTAAAATTGGCTGAGGCCCCACACTGACTGGTTCTTGGGCCCTCGTCACATGAACTAATGCCAAGTGCTCTCAGATGTATGGGGAGGTGGTGCCTGGCTTCATTTTTGGTGCCCCCAGAGGCTTGTGGGGCTCAGGATGCTTGACTGGTGACATCAGGCAGCAGAGTTTTGCACTCTTGGCACTAACCCTCTCTGGCCACCGAGCTTTCTCCATTGTGTCTCCTTATCCCAGAGCCAGAATGAAGTCAGCTCCCTTCAGATCTGAGAGCTGGCTTGGGCCAGCCTCTTGGCCAGGGAAGAGGTCAGACCAGTTGGGAGCTTAAAAGCCAGTGGAGGAAAAGGTCAAGTCCCAGCCCCTCCATTTGAAGAGAAGTTCTGTCTTTCAAGCAAGAAAACAGTCTGTGAGCATGTAAATGAGCCTACTCCTTCCTTAGAGGTGTCTAGTTCTACCCAGATGTCTCTTCAAACAAGAACTAAAAGACCTGTAGTAGCAAAGTGACAGGAGCTGCCCACACAGAAGTCCTGCTTCCCAACTCTCCCAGCCTACTCTTCATCAGTCCTGGAGATAGTGGGTAACCTCATCCCATAGCTCCACCCCATGGAGCCAGTAGATCAGCTGTCCCTTCACAGAGGGGAAATCCATTTGGCAACAATGCCAGGAGGAAGACAGGTTGTAAAGTGGAGGAAACTTTGCACCCACACAGAGCTCGTGGAGGCCAGGAGTAAAATGATAGCTCTTTGGAAATGCTAGGCTTTGCCAGATTCCATGCCCTCTGGGGCCTTCTATCATAAACCAGTGATCGTGTTCCCGGCTTCACATTCTCTCTCACTGCGCTGGAGTTCTTATGCATGGCCTGGATTTATAAACACATGCTGGCTACCAATGGCAGCAAGTTAGCCTCCTGACCCACTTCTTTCCTGCTTTCACTCCAGTGTAAAGTGGGAGAAGGGAAGGGCTGCAGAGGTGGCCACTGGGCTCTTGGGCAGGAAATCCTCACTGTGCCAAAGCTTTGTGTTTGGAGCGGAGCTGCCTGAGGCGCTCTCCTGCAGCCGCCTCCCCCCAGCCTTCTGAGGAGACCTGCCCCTGCCCCCCACCAGCCTGAAGCTGGCTCCCTGAGAGAGAAACCTGGTCTTTGTACACAGACCCTCCTCCCCACTTGTTTTATGTGCTGTTCAGTCCACATGTTGGCTTTGGATTTTGTTTCCATTGCAAGTGTTGCACCTTGCATATGAGCAGTTTTATTAGCCGTGGAATCGCCAGAAAAGTTGTATCCTTTTACTGACCTGGAGTTGCTTTCTTCTGCCAGGCTTCCCAGCTCTGTGCCCAGCAGCCTGTCCAGAGTGAGCTGGTGCAGAGATGCCAACAACTCCAGTCTCGCTTATCCACTCTGAAGATTGAGAACGAAGAGGTGAGTGTTCTGCCTGGGGGGCTCAGAGCTACCCTCTGAGGTTCCCCATGGAACTTGCTGCTGCTGCCCATGTGGCAGCAGGTGGAAGGAGCATGCAGAGAATGTCCGGGCTGCTGCAGACACTTCCTAGCCAAATGTCGACTTGGACTTTCCCCTAGCTACATCCTGCCCTTGAACTCCAGGAAGTTGCTCTTGTGTTGCCAAAGGTTTTATTCTATTTTAAGCTTTTGCAAAAAGCTTTTTTTTCCTCTCTACACATTTAATCAGAATGGCATTTGGCAGCTGTGTGGACAGTATTGTGTCTGAAACTACCCCTCATGCCTGCCTTTTTTCCAGCATTTTCAAACAAATGCAGACCATTGACTCTGACACTTCAAACATCTCCATCCTCTGAGGAAAGGGTGACTCTCTTCTGGGCCCTAGTACATTTTTCTTTCCACAACCAGTTTAAAAGGACAGCTTGATTGATGATCCCACTTTCTGTTGAGCTCAGATGGCTTCTTTTCTTATATCTCAGTCTTACTTTTCCCAGGATATCAGGAAGGACTAGGGATGGACCAGTTTATCTCCTGGTAGCAAAACAAATTCATTGTTTTGTTGAAGGTCATGGAACAGAATCTGGGGATTTTTTTTTCAGGGTAATTACACCCCTCCCCCGTGCTAGACAAGTGCTCTACCACTAGACATCCCTAGCCCTTGTTTATTTTCTTTTTGAGACAGGGTTTTGTTAAGTTGCCCATGGCACCTTTAAACTTTTGATCCTCCTGCTGCAGCCTTGTGAGTAGCTGGGATACAGGCATGCACCAGCCTGCCTGCCCATCCCACCTTTTAACCGGCTCTTTGCACAGAAGGGTTAATTTGAATTTGTTTTATTCAGATTTCCTTAGCTCTTCCATTATAATGAAGAACTAATACTAAATTTTAAAAGTAAACCCTACGTTAAAGAGCTAAGTCAAGTAAATAGCCCAAAGGGGGGGTGGATTTTTGGTCCTCACTAGAGAGTTGTGTGTAAGGCCATGTGAGTCATAGCCCTCATCTAGCACTGTCTAAGGGAGGCAGAGCTGGCTCCTCTGCTGACATCCTCCCTCCATCACATCCTACTCTCTCTCCCACTTCCCCAAGCTTCTCCACCACTCACTATTTTGCAGATTGCCTGTCATGCATTAGGTTTGCTCTTGTGGTTGTAGGTAAAGAAGACAATGGAGGCTACCCTGCAGACCATCCAGGACATTGTGACTGTTGAAGACTTTGATGTGTCTGACTGCTTCCAGTACAGCAACTCCATGGAATCCGTCAAGTCGACTGTCTCGGAAACCTTCATGAGCAAGCCCAGCATCGCTAAGAGGAGAGCCAACCAGCAAGAGACAGAGCAGTTTTACTTCACGGTAAGAGACTCCATGGCCTTTAAAGAACCTCAGCAGACACGCTGGTCCCCAAAGGAGGTTTAGAACTCAGAGTCTGGTCAAATGTCTGAAAGGACTGAGTATCCTAGGTTTGAATCTGAGCATACTAGGAGCCTATTTCCATACTTAAGGCGGCAGCATCTGCAAGTCGTATGTGTCTAACAGGGACTCCCTAAAGGTTGCTCCCAAGTATCCTACTAAGAAGGTTTTCTGTTTAAAAGAATTTTTAAGCAGCTACTAGGCTTTCATTTGAAAGCCTCTTTCTCAGGCACAGGGCCTCGTGAGTGGGGACGTCATTGCTTGGTTCTTGGGAGCTACATCAGAATCTCTTGGCTAACAAATACCTTGTTTTCAAAAGTTGTGTCTCTTTTAGGTAATCTGATGACATTGTTTTATAACTTGCATTTTTGGGAAGATACTTTTAATAATTATTCTTAAAACTTAAAGGGACCCATAATGTACAGCATTGTTGTTTTGCAGAGAATTTGAGAGCATACTTTGTTATTCATGTATCTCCAGTCTCTCTTAGACAGATGGGCCCACTTATTTTAAAGTCATGCTACTAGTCCTTTGGAAGGTTGTTAGCTGGTCTTTGGTACTGCTTTTTAATAATTAAGTTATTTTGATCTTGCCAAATAGGATTTATTGCCTGAACTAAAATTTATTTCCTGATGTTCAGATGACCAAGAAAGGAAAAATTAAGTTTGCAGATGTGAGATGAAATATAGCCAGTGAATATGCATACTGATTCTGAATGAAATGAATTAACTTGTTTTTCAGTCAAGAAGCACAGTCTGCATGCAATAAATTGAATTTTTCCTTCGACTGGAACAGTTCGTTTAATTCTTTGAACATTGCCCTTTCTGCATTAAGAACACTAATGATTTGTGAATTTTCTCTTAAATCTGTTTTTTAATTACTTAAGTTCAGAATTCTTCGGGGTTCTTTTTTTAAATCCTGGAGAAGACTGTTGAAAGAGTGATTTAAGAGTATTATCTTCTAAAACATTTCAAAACTTGTCGTACAAGAAAATCACGTTCAGTGTTGGGCATGGCGGTGTATACCTGTAACCCCAGCCCTAGGGAAGCTGAGGCAGGAGGATTGTCGCAAGTTAGAGGCTGGTCTGGGCTGAAAGTGAGTTCAAGGCCAGCCTGGAGTTACATAGTGAGACCCTGTCTCAAAAAAAAAAAAGCATACTCATTATGTAAAACTTAGAAGAAAAAAAATCATCCATAATCCTACCACCTAGAGATATAATGGTATTAGGATATATGTCCTTTCTGTGCATATACAAATATATATACAATATGTATTTATAATTTTATTACCAAAAATTGTATATTGTATCTGTTGTATATAATGTAAAGTCATTTAATTGTAATATTTGTAAAGCAAATGCATGAGTAAAATACTAAAATCTACATAAATAATGGAGTGACATTTTGGCATATTCAGTCATTTTTATAAAATACTTAACACATTGTGTGGTTCATAATTTTCATAAATGCTGAAAATTAGGTAGGCATTGGTGGTACACACCTGTAATTCCAGCCACTCAGGACCAGGAGGATCATAGATTGAAAGCCAGCCTGGTCAACTGAGCCAGACCCTGTCTGAAAATAAAAAATTTTAAAGGGTAAGAGGTGCCGGGATATGGCTCAGAGTGAGCACCTTTACCCTGGGGTCAATCCTCAGTACCACAGTCAGCCAGTCAGTCAGTAAACACACACTGAAACTTTATTTTCGCCATCATCATTTTTATACTTAATATATGTTTGTGATACCTAATAATTGCACTCAGCTTGGAGAATTGATACATATGTATGGCATCTTTTACTTCTCTTTCTCCTACCCACCCCTTGCCTTCCTTTCTCAGGTGCCCTTCCCACTTGCACGGATTTCACCTCTCTATTTCCTATCATCTCTTTTTTGTCTTGCTCTTTAAAGTATTTATATTTTGAGTTTCACATATTAGAGAAGCCATGTGATATTTAGCCTTCTATGATTTTTTTAGCATGATAGTCTGAAGATCTATTCATTTTCCTACAGATGACTCAAATTTATCCTGCTTTACACTAAGAACCATGATCATCATTACTCATTAATCATTACTAAGTTATTCACTGATCATTTATTGTGGGCTTACTGTCTCCCAGACACGTGTTACAAACTAGGGGTGTTGAGAATAAGAAATGAAGAGGGGATTATGGGGTTGGGCATATAAAGGAAGAGCTTTCAGTTTTATTTTAGGTATTTCTAAGCAGTAATAATGGATTGATTTTTATAATAAATATAAGGAAATGTAATGCATGCATACACATGTGCATGAGTGGCAGCCACAAGTGGCACCAGGGCAGCAGCGCACACAGGTGATTTTGTACTTGATCTTGAAGGATGAGTGAGCTGGGCAGCGGACTGAGGAGAATATTGTTCCTTGAGGGAGGAGTGGCGTGTGCAGGGCATGCAGGCATGCGAAAACCTGAGCTGCATGTTAGAGAATTTCTTGACTATACTTTTGCCTTAGCTTCATTATTGAAGGAGCTTGTTGGATACTCTCTAGGCTTTTAATAATAGGGCTGTTTGGCTAAGCCTCTCTGGGCTTCTTAGATATAAATGACCCATCTTGTTACATTTCAGAAGATTTCTATCTTTAAGTTAAGTAAAACATTTTGGACACAAAACTGTATTTCAGAAGGTCTTTGTCAGAATTACCTTTGGCTTAAATGAACCTATAACATCAATTTTCAGCATTGACCTTTAACAGAAACAGGAATGACCCTATTCAAGCTGGTGACCTCTGAAGTCCTTTCACTTTCTAGCTGAATGCACTATGTCCTTTAACTCATTTCCTGTCTTTTGTGGCCATGGTGCCACTTGTCAAAATTGTGTGCAAATTTCCTTAGCTAACAGGAATGTTTTCTGTCTAGGCTTGTCCTGTAACAGATTTACAGGACAAGAGCTCATCATTTTTCACAAATGGTGCCTAAGTGGATGAGATAATTCATTTCATGATAAAAGGGCTTGTTTTGGATAGTGAAATGGACATTTAACAAGAGGTCCCCATGTTAAACTGAGGGACTACTTGTAAGGCTTGCCAAACCACACGTAGTCCTCCGTTGCTTCTGCAGATGTTGCCCTCTTTATTTTTCTTCTCACTTCAAAAATAGAGTAGCACATCCTAGAGCAGTGGTGTTGAACCTATGACACGCGTGCCACAGTGGGCTGTTTGTATCATTGAAAGCTCTAAAAGATTTGCCACCACAGCCCTAGAGGCTCCTTTCATTTGGAAAGTTTGGGAAAGGCCCCTTATCATGGCTTGATTTCTCAATAGTATGCCTAATGACCAGAAGAACTGATGGGACAGTTTTCTGATCACTCATGGCTGTCATCAGATTAATCTGCCAGGTGATATCATTAGAAATTTGAAGCATGGCCCATAGAGGTCAGTTGCTTACAGGAGTCTTGCGGAGATAATGACGGGATTTTTAAAGCTATATGGCACACCCCTGTAATCTCAGCACTTAGGAGCTAAGGTAGGAAGGTCACACATTAGGGACCAGCCTGAGCTACGTTACACATTGTCTGTGAGGCCCTGTCCAAAAAAATACACAAAAACTAATCCAAGTTTCTCATTTGAAAGATTAAAAACGGACATATCCAAAGAGGGTAGATAGGTTGGCCAAGGTGTTCGGCAACAGCTAAAGCAGGAACTCTGGATCCCTGCTCTGTGGCTGCAGGCTTTCCTTCAAAGGCATGTCTGACCAAAGGCTTGCCTGAGCCACTCCAAGTGAAGAGGGGTTGTCTGGGGCCACAGGTTAAGCATTCCTGCCAGCGGAGCTCAAGGACAAGGTTCAGGAACAGCTCAGCAACTTTCCCTCTTTCTTGCCGTAAATGATCTCCTTGGCTTTATGCCTGTCGTTCATCTTCTAGAACACATCATTCAGCAACATCTACTTTTCTGCCTTTTTTATTGTGCTTCTTAAAAATAGTTTTTATAAAAGATTGCAAAGATTTCAAGAGGACTTTTAGGAAAAAGTCAAGCATTTTTGTATCCCTGACCCCACTTCTCCTCCCACTGCCAGACACAAAACTAGTTTCTTTTGTGTCCTTCCAGAGACATTGTATGCATAGGCAACAACAGATGTATCAGTAAGTTCCCTTTAATAGGAGAAATTACATTAGAAATAGAATGAAATAGAATAGGACAAATGGAAGTATACCACTCATACTGTGCCTTGCCTTACTTTTGTCACTTAATTTGTTTTAAACATGATCTTTATGTTAGTTCAAAAATATCTCCCTCCTCAGAATTCCTTTGTACTCCTTTATATGGAGGGTCATTGGGCAGTAGTGCTCATTGTTCAGCCAAGAGTTAGCAGAGCTTTGTTAGACTGGCGTTTCTCCTAGTATTTCCTAGTATAGAGCATTGGAGTGTGGGATTCTTGTTTGGGGTACAGGTGGATTCTTAGGAACAGTTTTGGGTAAGATAACAGGAGAGGAGATGGTGCCTGGCCACTGTGGCAGGATTTGGGATTTGTAGTCTGAGATCTTTCTTCATCTTAATATCTTATGGGCCCTGGTAAATGTGTGCTAAGCAGGTACAAATGAGTGAATGTCCCTACCCTGCCCATTAAACTGGGGAGATGTGCTCCACTTAAGGTTTACTCTATTATGTATTCTGTCTAACAGCTGTTTCCTGCTTGAAAAATTGACAGGGAGGAGGGGAAGTGTCAGTGTGCCTGGATGGTGGGGAAGCAGGCACGATAATGACATCTGTGTCTCTGTGCGCAGGGGGCTGAGGAGGCCCTGTCACTCTTCCCACCCCACCCCCTTGCTGCAGGCTTGGGTTCACACAGACTAAGACCAGTGCATAAGCAAAGTCCTGTAATTCCTAACCCCATGGCAAACACATACTTCAAGGGCAAAGGTTTTTTTAAATGAAATTTGGAAAATGTTCTATGTCTCATACTTTTTTTTAAGGCCTGAATCCTTCTGCTTTGATTTAGCTTGCTTATATATTAGTACATAGCAAAGTTTAGGGAAGGAATTTTTTTAAGGTGACAGCAGGCAGGCAGTTGGTTCAAGTGTAAGGAACACTTTCTGAGTAAGTGCTGTGTGCCAGCCTCAGTGCTGACGGTCATATTGTTAGCCTTCTGACCTTTCAATAACATTGTGACTTTTTCTGTTGGAAAAGCCAAGACTCCAGTAGGTTAAGTGAATTGCCCAAGGTTAGAAGAGTTAATAAGTGATAGGACTAGAATATACCAACTCAAGCATTTTCATTTTACTGCAGCAAAAATATCTGTCAGTGACAGAGTGCTAAGAAAGAAAAATTATGATGTTCATACATTCTGATAAATGAACCTCATTGCTGACAGTCCCTGTTAGGAATTATTAAGGGATAAATTAATGAGACCATAAAAATAGAATTGGAATTTCACAATGCAAAAAAAGAAATCAAATACCTAATAGATAGTTTGCCTCCCTTCCTACCTTTTGTAAAAAAATTTTCAGTTTTGATGATACTGATTATAAAGGCTGGGGCAGGAGGCACGGGTGTGTTTTAGGAACTTGCCAAGGAAGAGATTTTTGAGATACAAACAGCTCCTGTCCTGGCCCCCTGCTCTCCAGAAGTCATCAAAAGGCTACCTATTGCTCCTTTCCCTTCAGCCACCTTGGCTCGTTCTCTGGTAGTCTGTTCTGCAGCAACTGAGCCTTTCTAACTCAGTCTGCTGATAGAGGCACGGCTATTTATACCCAGCTTCTCCCCCACAGATGAGTGCCAGCTTTGGTGGGAGGTGATCAATGACAAGCTGTGCTTTGCACGTCCACCAGGTAGAAAAGCCCAGCCATTGTGCACACGCCAGTATTAGGGATGCAGGTCATATCTTGACACAGTTTTGATCCTTCAGGATTTAATGGAACCCGAAAAGGTAATCCATCATTGCTCTTTATCAGATTATTTATTTTAATGGTTTGAGGAATGACAGCCGGAGTTAACTAGTGAGCAGTGAACATGAATGAAAAAATGGTTTCTGGACTCACAAGTAGAAACACGAGTAAGAGAAAGGAATTTGCATCTATCTCCCTTCAGAATTTGGGCTGCATCTGGTCTTGTTTTGAGGGTTACAGCTTTTTGGTAAATTTTCCTCATAGAAAAAACCCTTGAGTCTCCTGGGGTAAACTTCGGCAGAGGGGCCTTTGAGGATTGTGCTCTTAGTGATGGGTGTTCCCTGAAGGCTTTTCACCCCTCTCGGCCTCAGAGTACTATTCCAAGCCCACAATTAGGCATGGGTTGGGGATTAGGATGTTACCCGGAGAAAACTGACAGCAGGTGAGCTGGCAGCTGGAGCAGATGGGAAGGGAAAGGTGACACACGACAGGAGAGCCTATTTTCATGCAGATGTTCTCCTGCAAAAGCACAAAGGAGCAGAGGGAACAGGTCCTGGGTAAGGCAGAAGAAATGATTGAATATGAAGTTTGTTTCTGGTTTGTTTTATATTTAACATCGAATAAGGATATTGGGGGCTTGGTTTGTAACTGCTAGTGGCGGTTCTATACACACAAGGGTGAGCCTGCTTGTTTATTTCTTCATTCGTTACGCACTTATTGAGTATCTACTGTCTGTTGGGTCCAGTATCATGCTTTCCATTCTAAGCATAATGAATGACATAGTCTCTGGCCTCAGGGAAGAGACAGTCTAGAAAAAAATACACACCAGTAACAAACCCTCTCGACAGGACTGTATGGGAAATGCTGTCAGAGAGATGTGCAAGTTACACAACAAACCATGCGTGTGTGCATGGAGGGCCAGAGACTGCATCTCAAAGAACGCAGCTTTGTCTCTGTGCTCCCTCTCTCTCTCCCCATCTCTCTCTTAAATGGGGTAGACTGCACAAGCTCTTAATTTAGAGTTCAGACTAAAATTAACTCAGGTAGTTTTACCTTTTCTGTCAGTCTTAATTCTACATGGTAATAACGATGATATCAAAGTCTGGATATTTTAAAAGATGGAACTGTTGTAATCCTAAGTGTTTTATCCACTTATGACCTGAAGGACCCCACGGCTGTCCAGGGCTTAGAAGGTCACCCTCGGGGAAATACTACCATTTGACTTCCTGCATTTAACATGAGCAGTTGACTGCGGCCTGGCAGATGAACCAGCACATCAGGAGACACCAAGGCAGATGCAGGCTAAATTCCCCGAAAGGCTGTGGGGAAAGTGGAGAATGGTGTAAGGGTCCAAAGGCCCAGAGCACTATTGTTTTCTAGCTTGCAACAACTGGCAGTCTGACACCCTCTTCCTGAAATCATCTCTTCATCTTTGAAAAAGAAATAATGATGTTGCCCTATGTGTTGTACAGCATCAAATGAGAGACTCTGTGCTAAAGTACTCTAAAATAGTCTGAATTGCTATTCATGTAGAAAGAATTAAGTGCTGTGAAGTTTAGTTCTGCATCTCTCCTATTGTGTACTGTGGTGGAGAGAATATTTTATGTATAACATTGTGGATAGAACATTTTATTTATAATGCTGAAGAGCACATATTGTATTGCTAACCTGCCTGTGTTTGACTGTGTTGACTCCCCTGCTCACTATTTGACTTTGAGCAACTTACTTAATCTCGCCAAGCCTCAGTGTACTTATCTATAAAATGGGTGCAGTGCTAATAGCTGTTCATAGGATTGTTTTGAAGAGTTGCTGAATTGTCCTGTAAAACAGTCTCTTAATGGGCGGATAAGGGCTGAGGTCAGAGATCAGATCTGAATGTACAGCACAGCAATCATACTTTGACTGTTAGAGCAGGTGGCATTGCATTTTCAAATCCTCCTCTTCTGTTTGGAACTGTGTGTGTGTGTGGAAGGAGGAGCTGGCAGCTGCTCCCTCTGAGCACTCACGAGTTCCTAGCTTTCCATAAAGACTCCATGTAGCTTAAAGAAAGGTTGGTCGAGATATGGCTCAGACATGTGCCAGGCTTGCAGCTGAGGCAGGGCTGAGCTGGCCATCGCCACTACTGTGGGGGGTGACAGAACATGTCCTGGAAGGGGTAGGGCAGGCAGGAGGTCAGTGGAAGTGCCAAACAGCAGCGTGCATCTTCATCCCAAGGACGCTGCCCCGGGAAGTCTGCCCACCCTCCAGGAGTTTGAGTCCTGGGAGAACTTAGGAGAGACGAGGGGGTTTAGGAGATAGTCTTTTTTTTCCTTTTTGTCCTGGCTAATGCTTATAGGGAAACGTAGAGCGGGATGATCATCCACCATGAGAGTCAGCAGCTGTCCACATACTCAAGGACCCAAAGAAAGAAAAAGTCAGACCCCGTAGAAATTGGGTCAGAAGCCAGATGACATCTCAAAAGAGGAATTGACCGCCTGAGTGTCTTGATTTTTCTTTCTTCAGCAGTCTGATTGTCCTCTCTTCTCCTTTGCCCTTACAGAAAATGAAGGAGTACCTGGAGGGCAGGAACCTCATCACCAAGTTGCAAGCCAAGCACGACCTTTTGCAGAAAACACTGGGAGAAAGTGAGTGTGAGGTCACCCTGCCGGAGGCTGGCAGTGAGGGGAGGCCCCACCGAACTTGCTTGCTGAGCACGAGCCTCTGTCCTCGTTCAAGTGGACCCAGTCTGGTTTTGTGAATGGTTTTCTTTCCTTAGCCTGTTTCACGTGGAAGCACATGCCCCAGACGACTGCTTGAGTCATGGGGCAATGCTTAATGAAGCAATAATGTGCATCCTGTTTGTTTAAATGGAGCATGCTGCCACTCCTCACCCACTCCTTCGTCTCCCTATGTCCACAGGGCAAAGGGACCGCCAAGGTATTCCCTCTCCAGACACCTTGTTAAAATTCCCAGCTCGGGGCTGGGGATTTAGCTCAGCGGCAAAGCACCTGCCTGGCAAGCGCAAGGTCGTGAGTTCGGTTCCTGGTACTGGAGAAAAAAAAAAAAAAAAAAAAAAAAAAAAATTCCCAGCTCTCTGGCGGGACCTTGAGATGAGACATGCAGCTGCTCTGAGCAGGGAGAGGGTCCTCAAATGCAGTAGTGGCGAACAGACTGCCACTGACTACAGCTTCTAGGGCGAGCCTCCATTTCCTCCTGCTTGGAAGGGTCTGCCTTCCTTCCAAGTGGCAGCCCCCTCTGCTGTGGCCATCCTGAGGCCATGGTGCTGAACAGACTGGATCATCTCAGATGGTGATCCTGACCAGACCCAGGGAAGCAGCAAGGCAGAGAACTGGACTGGCACTCTGGACTTTCTCTCCTCAGCCATCAAACAGAAGGTGGAGGCTCAAAGAGAAGCTTCCCCAGGGTTGTTTGGCACCTTGCCCAGGTTTCCTGCCCAGCTCTCAGCATCCTATGATTAATGGGATTCCCAGGTTGAGGATGCCTCTGAATGCCCTGCCTCTCCTCCCTGCACACTACTCTCTTCTTTTAAATATGGGAGGGTGGTGAAGGGAGAGGCTACAAGGACCAGGTCAGTGACAGGCAGGCCTGCATGTACATAGAGTTCTACCATTTTAGGATGAATTCTTGAGCGCTCACCAGATGAACTGCAGAATATAGAAAAGTATGCAAGATTCATTGGCTCATTGGCCCAGGAATTGAAGCCTGTTTTTTCATGCCAGAACCTCCTGCCTACCTTCCTTGCCTTCCTTCTGCCCTGCATAGTTCCTTCAGATGATTGGTTCTTCTTCCTCTGTCATATTTCTAAGACTGTTTTTAATGTGAAGAAAGCCTTTAGGTAACTTCTGGTCTCTTTCCTCTCCATCCCCTAAGGGGCTTGGACTAAACAGGCCCAGGCTTTGAAGAGGCAAGTGTTGCTTATAGAAAATCTTTACTCTTGAGGTTATCAGACTGCTCCACAGAGAACTGAAGGAAAGAAAGCCCAGCGCTATTTGAAGCAAGTTATAGCTGGGATTTTTTTTCTCTTGAAGAGGGGTGGTCAGCTAATCTAAGCATAGCCCATAAATAAACAGGGAGCAGGGCTTCTGGGGTATGTGTGCATATGTGTGTATGAATGGGTTTGCTCACACAAGTATGTGCACCAAATGTGGTACTCCAGAGGGATGGAAGTTGACCATTCATCGTGCTGCAAATTGCCTTAATCAAAAGATGACAAGTTCCAGCAATAAAAGAAAAAAATAGCTATAAATCTTCCTGTGTGCCAGGCATCATGTCCCTGCCTTCTGTGTGTATTTGTCACCAGAATGCAAGAGACCCTTGTTCTTGCCACAGAGGGATAATTGATGTGTATGAATATTCTAGAATGGAAATGGGACAGATGTTGAAAATAATGGCTCAGAATACTATTTTTGCAGATGAAAGCTAAGCTTTTGGTAAGGAGAGGCTTTTAGGGTGGGGGATGGTGTCACTCAGGGTAAGCTGAACTATAATCAACAGTGAGCAAGCTTTAAAGGTAAGGAAAAGCCCTGCCCTCTCCCAGTCCTGGAGTTGGAGCTTGAGAGACAGATGTGGGAGCTGCTCCTTCCTTGTCCAGCTCAGTGCCTGGTTTATCTGGCGCAGGTCTGATCAGGGTCGTGCTTCATGGACCCAGAGAAAGCAACATGTGTTACATGATGGCCCATGGATACATGTATCTGCGTTTAAAAACACATAAGAGCTGGGCATGGTGGTGCAAGCCTGTAATCCCAGCATTTGGGAGGCTGAGGCAGGAGGATCGCTGAGTTCAAGGCCAGCCTGAACTGCCTAGTGAGACCGTCTCAGACAAAATAAAAAAGTAAATAAATAAACCATAAGAATACTTCTTATGAATTGGAAGTGTTCAGTTTCATTTTTTAAAACCAGTTATGACTCTCTGAGAACCATGATTTGCTAGTAGTACTGGTATTCCCAGCCCCAACCGTATGTGAGTCTGTATGTTCATTCATAGTCCCAGGAATGAGGAAGCTTTCCCCAGCCTTCCCTACCGCTACACATAGACCCAGCAGACACATCAAGAGCTGAAGTTCCTCTCTAGGAAGATTTCTAGTAATTTGTTAGAGTGGGATCTGCCATATCCCTCTCATCCATGCCTGTTTCGCACCAGGAAGCAGAGGTGGCAAGTGTAAGGTCTGAGGATACCACCAGTCGTGGCCTGGGAACCAGCAAAGAATGTTCTTGCCCAGAAGAAGGCTTTGGTCACTTCTGTTCTATTCTGACTAATGGCTCCCTAAGGGAATGGGCAGGGCTTGGTAATTCCTAGGAGGAGGCCTCCCCTCTTTACCTCTTTGCGTCTACATATGCTTTTTGCCTTTATCTTTGCAGGTCAGCGGACAGATTGCAGTCTGGCCAGGTAGGTATGGTTTGGGGAAGTCCCGGGAAGGGATAAAGAGAGACCCCTGGGGTCCATCGATTCCAGAGTGGGAAAGAGCCAAGGGGTTGAGTTGTACAGACACTGAATGAGTTTGCAAAGGAGTGACATAGGGGGAGGTTGCTTCCTTCCTCTATTCTTATTAATCCCACCTGGTTCCAAATGGTAACAGAGTTTGCTGAAATGCACCTAGAGATTGCCAAAGCCCCTATATGGCTCCTGGTAACCTAACCTTAGCTTCAATGTGTGGGCTTTGGGAGTTCACTGACCCATTAAAAATGAAGATCAAGAGATAGCATTTGATCTGAGATGGTTCTGTGTGTGGAATAGGCAGCAGTTCCTCATGAGTGAGTGTTGTTGGATAGTGCAGTTGTACATCACACTGTCTTGCCAGACAGCCTTGGGAGAGTCCTTTCCTGATGTGCAAGTTTACAGCTCTCCCAGTCCCTACCCAGTCCCTTTCCTTTCTTGCCCTCTCTCCCCAACCCAGCCAAATGCTTTCCCACCCAGTCTCAGTGCTTCTATGTGAACTGACAGAGAGGAAGTCATTCATTCAGCCAACAGTTCCCAGATGCCTAAAAATGTGCTGATTTAACTGAAGAAACAGCTTTAATGGATCGGACTCCTTAGAGACCCTGTGTTAGCCCGTTATATCAACCACTCATATCTGCCAGCAAACACAATAATCATGTGGCCATTTACAATTATAGGCCCATTATTTAGAGATAACTTCATTTGGCTTTCATCATTTTGTCATTGTGGATTACAACAAAAGTCGCATTAATACACCAATCTTGAGGACTAGAGGGAACCAGGACAGTGGAATTGTGTGGGATGTGTCCTCTGGCAGTAGAGTCCAATTTCACGTGTGATCACATGTCTGCAGAATTTTCTAGAAAAACTGAAAAGAGCTGAGTTTCCTTCCCTTTGTATGACTTTGAGCCACTCCTTTCCACTCCCAGAACACCAATTTCTTTCTCTAGAAGATGGGAACCCTATATTAGATTTGAGAAGCTCTAGGATTCTAGAGGTTCATCAGGAGTAGGCTGGCAATGGAGACAGCAAGGCCCAGCAGCTGGGCCCTGGCCTCTACCTTCACTTAAAGCAGAGCAGCACTACCTTGTTTTGGCTGCTGTGTCTCCAAGTCAGGTTCGCTTTGAGGCTAGACCCAGATTGAAAATGCATTGAGAGAGGCTCCCGAGGTTCCTTCCAGTCTGGATGCTCTACCTCTAAATAAATTGCTCCCTCTCTTCTCCCTAAGGAGTTCCAGGAGAAAGCAAATGGGAGTGTTGCTTGGTGTTTACAAGAGTCTCTTTGCATACAGAGATTTTACTGTCTAATTCAAATCTATTTTACTATGAATCAAACCAGTTTCCTCCTATTAAAATTTCAAGTAGTAGTAACAGTAAAAGCAGGGACCCCTGAGCCTTTATGAAGAGAAAAGCTTTATTGGGCTTCAGTTGGGAAGTAACTTATTAGGCCTCTTAGCTATTTCTTGGACTGAGCTGAAAAATATGACTTGTCTCATAACCATTCTATAGGTTGTTTTTCATAATTAAAAGCTTTACCTCTGGGTTTAAGAGTAGTTGTCTCACTCTGTCCCAATTTTCTTTTTCCTTCCTATTCCTGGATTGGTCCTCTTTGACTCGGAATCAACCACAGGCGTAGCTCAACCGTGAGAAAACAGGTAAGAGTCCAGTAAGAGGCCAGGGACATAGCTCAGCAGCATAATGCCTGCCTGGGAAGTGCAAGGTTCTGAGTTCGATTCCTGGTACAAAAAAAAAAAAAAGAGTCCCATAGGAGCCAGCCTGCCTGGCATGAAAACTGAATACATCCTGTAACCGTTTAAGGACTTCACTGTGGACAGGGCGGACATCTCTGACTTCATGTCTGCATTTGAAATGTACCCGTCAGTCATGGTATGGTTAAGATTTTGTAATGTCATTGATTTAACTTTAGATTGGAATGGTCGTAGTCTTTATGACCTGTTCTTCTCTCTAGCTGTTTACCCTCTTGTGTACTCGACATTTGTTTTAAGTGGAACAGATTGTGCCAGAGCTGCTCAGAGCACCACAAAGAGGCCTCACCCTCTGTCACATCCGCACTGATGTGGCAGGGACTCCCAGCGGCTGGTCCCCGAGGCAGGATAGTCTTGCTTTAAGTTTGCAGCTTTCTTCGCTTCTGCATTGTGGTCATCCTAGATATGTCCCTGACACGTGCTAGTAACAGAGCCGAGTCTGCTCTGCAAATGACAGACAGGAGCTGTTTGCTCTGCAGTTTGGCACATGAGCTTCATGGCTGTTTTACGCCAGCTCTCATTACCCATATTAGGAGGGATCTCAGGGAGCTGTGGCATGGATAATCCACATCAGTGGGTAATCTAAATAGCACTTGTGCCTTTTGGAAAAAAAAGTAATTGAAGTATTTTTTGCAGTAGCAAATCTGACTTCCTAATTATACTTTATGGCAAATACTGAAATGATTTTCTGTCCCCCTAAGCTCATACCAGCTTTGCAGAAAGTAGTTTGCAGGGAGGTGGTAGAGGGAGCTCAGAAGTATCTTTGTGTCTACTCAGGGGAAAAGTGATCCAGGCTTTGCAATGTTTTTCTGGGTAACTCACAGAGGCGGCAGCCACAGGGAGATCATCACGTGCAGAGGCACACGGTTTCTATAGTGTCAGCAGCCCCAGAGTCCCTTCAGCTCATGGGGCTGCTCCGGCTGGGTGGGCAGGTGTGGAACCCGGAACACATGGGCCTCACTTGCCTTAGCTCTGCTTCATTATTCCCCCGCCCCTTAGATCTCATGTTAATGAGAACACATCAGATGTCTTTATACCTTTTTTCTTTTCCTTCCATCCCTCCTCTCTTCTCCTCTCCTCTCTTCTCCTCTCCTCTCTTCTCCTCTCCTCTTCTCTCCTCTTCTCTCCTCTCCTCTGCTCTCTTTTCCTCTCCTCCCTTCCCCTCCCCTCCCCTCCCCTCCCTCCTCTCCCTCTTTCTCTCTGTCCCCCTCTCTCTCTGAGACAGGTCTTGCTATATAGTTCACACTGGCCTTGAACTTGTATGTAACTCAGACTGGCTGTGAACTTGTGGCAGTCCTCCTGACTCAGCCTCCCAAGTGCTATCTAGGATTATAGGCATGCTCTACTACACCTAGCTATTTATACATTTTTAAATGATAAAAATTTCATTGCAACTCTCCTCCCTCTTGTTCCTTGATTTTTTTTCTTCTCCTTTCTCTCATAATGTCATTTAAAACTGAAACAGGATGGAGTACCTTCCAGGGATCATTTATGGCATTTAAAATTAGTAAATGGGACTTAGAGTGAGCAAGCCATTTCTCCCTTAATACTGGTAAATAATAGGGTTGAACTTGAAGTTTGTTTCCATTCCTGATCTAAAACTGAACTCCCTGCGTAGAGACGGATTGAGCATATGTGCCAGGGCTCCGCAGCCTCTTCTTTGGCCTTAGAGGCCCACAGTGTGGCAGGTGGCAGGCACCCCAGGCAGGGTAAATCGGAAGAGAGTGGCACCTGTCTGCTGTGTGATTTGCATCCTACTGCACCGAGCACTTGCAGGCTGTGTATTTGCCTGGTGCCGGATTTGCTTGAGAGCTCTAGGCTGCCTCATAAACCCAATCCATTGAAGACCTTGCTTTTATCCTGTTGCCCCCATCTCTCCAGGACTTCAGATCTGTTGGTAGATCAGCAAAAGGTTTTCTAACACCATCAGGAGGGTAAAATACTGGGTAGTTTATAAGTTGAGTAATCTTGTATCGGTAACCTGGAAGTCAGTGTTTGTTTATGTATGGCAAGTTGGCCAAAGAAGAGGAAGAATCTAATTGCTTTTGTTTTTGAGGGTGCCTAATGGAGTCCATTTTCTTTTTGTGTGGTACTGGGGAATTGAACCCAGGGCTTCACGTATGCTAGGCAGGCTCTCTACCACTGAGCCACATCCCAGCCCCTGTTAATTTTTTTTTTCTTTTGAGACAGAGCCCTTCTGCCTCCGCCTCCCAAATAGCTGGGATTACAAGTGTGTGTCAATCCATCCCGCTCCCAGTCATTTTTGACCCTGGTATAAAGACTAGTTTCAAAATGTCCCAGACCTTTCTTGAAACGAAGGTACCTCAGTTGCTGCTCTCCAGACCTCTGCTCTCACCAAGCCCCGTGTGTTTTTTCTGCTGGCCGTTACCTCCACGGCCTCTTCATTGCCCATCCCCGTTCCTCTGACTAGGCATTTCTTCAAGACCTGGTCCTCTCCAGACTTCTCTCCATATTCTTTTCCCACTGGGGAAAAATCATGCCATTCCCCTGGAGGAGCTTCTATCCTTCCACGTGCCACCTTTTGTTTTGCATTGCTGCCTGCCTGAGCCTTTGGAGCTAACTCCTGAGGATACCCAGGATATTTGTGCTTGAAAACTGAGCTTGCACCTCTTCCCTCTGCATCAGCCTTAACCTTCCTTCATGTTATGGTCTGTGTCTAGATGTCCCCCTCAAAGCCTCATGCAGTCATGGGGCAGGCTTCTAGAGTTTTTGATTGACTCATGGTCCAATGGGATTATGGGTGTGAGTGCTACACCCAGTGTACAGCGGGGAGCCTGCATACAATGCAGGGGAGGGAAAGAGGCTTGCTGGCTGCCGCTCCTCCCTTTTTGCTCTTGTTCATTTTGCTGTCTTCTGCCATCGTGAACTGTTGCCCCTGCCATGTGCCACTCTGCCTTGGAGCCAGCTGAGTATGGACTGAAACCCCCACAGACTGTGAACTAAATAAACCTTTCCTTCTCTAATTCTGGGTGTCAGGTATTTTGTCTCAGCAGTGAGAGAAAAGTGACTAAGACACAGCACCTCCATTCTGATTCCCTGGGCTCCTCCCCCTCAACTTCTCTGTTGCTGTCTGCTCCTTATAGTCCCTATGGCCCCAAATTTGATGTTTGATGCCTTTTTTCCCCTTATTGCCCCTATCTAGTCTGTTGTCAAGGTTTGGATTTTCTTTTTTGGTGAAGGCAGAAGTCTAACAAATGTAATTAGAAGTCAGTATCTGACCAGCACTTTAACCCTCTTCCTCGTAAGAATTTATGCCGGTGGGAAAAGGCTGATGATGGGCACTGAGTTACAGTTGGCTGGAAGTAGGAAGCCCTGGTGTGCTGTTGCTGCACAGTAGGGTGACTATAGATGGCTCTTATGATGTACATTTCAGACCCTTGAAGAAGTGCTTTTGAATGTTTCGCTATAAAGAAATGATAAACGTCTGGGGAGATCTGACTTAAACATTACACAACACGCACATGTATGAGAACATCACATGATATCCCTTTATCATGTACAATTTTTATGTTACATAATAGAACACAAAAACATTAAAAATGTATTTAATTTATTTCCATTAAAAATGAGTAAAATCTAAAAAGACCCAATTAATACCAAAAGAAAAGAACATATGCTGAACAGTGTGTATTTGGACATTATCCGGCCATCTTCCTGATTATTTTCTCCTGGACCACTACTTGACTGTTGTTTCCAAGTTATACCTACTGTCCTTTTCCTTCCAGTTCCCTCAAGCTGATTGGATGGCCCTGATTGTCTTTAAAGGCTCTTCTGGCCCGGAGATTATCTAACTAAAAATATTGTGAAGCAAAGCGTGACACTGGCATCAATTGTGACATGATGGAGGGTGGGAGAGAGAAACATACAGTGAATGAAAATACACAGAGAAGCTGCAGTCAGTTGTGTGCGTTGTCAGTGGGGCAGTGTGGGTCTGTAGGGCACTACTGGAGCACAGGGCAATCAGGGGAGTTGAATTCACTCCTGGTGTAGAAACAACACGGGGGCTGGGGATGGCAGGGGCATCCAAAGCCTTTGCAGCTCTGTGCCTTGCTAATTCCTTCTAGACTCTGTCTTAGGGCTCATTGGAACTGTGGGGACAGGGAAATGCTCCCCTGCAGGAGGACAGTCATCTCTGGCCCACCTTTATCTGCCGCCGATTGTCCCTCTGGGCTACTTCCGAGGTGCTTTTGGTAACCACTGTCAGGCAGGTTAATATCTCTGATGTCCCATTCCCTGCCAACCCTACGGAGGTCATTTCACACTGATACTCTACTTCCTGTGCATCTGGGCAGAATTTTGCATTCACATAACTTGTTGAAAGCAGCAACCTATGAGCCTCCCAACTCCCCTCCCTCTAGCCCTTTATATATAAACCTGGGACCAGCAAAACTTTACAAACCTCTTACTGCTGCCTTCATCATGTCTGCTGCTGCTATTTATGAAAAATACATTAACAGAAGTCTGTAAACATAAAAAGATTTCTCAAAAATGGAGATTTTTCCTTTTAATAGTGGAACCAGAGAGCAGACATTGGCTGGGCAGCTAGAGGAAGCGGTTGGGCTTAGGGTCACGAAGATGAGCATTTGGGTCACTGAGACCTTCCTGACTTCAGCTCCCCTTGGAATATGCGGTACTCCCTTTGGCAACATCCCGGGTCCTGGCAAGGGAGATAGAGGCCAAAGCAGCCCTTCTCTTGGTCTGACTTGTTCATAAGAACCAGCTGCTTCCCTAATAGTAGCCAAACCCCATGGCTACAGTTGAAAATTCAGAGCCAGAGGAGGGGTGCTGGCAAACCTGTGCAGTGAGCAGAAGGCACAAGGGTCCCCTCCACTTGAGAGTCCAGTCTCTGTTCCGAACATCTGAAGCCCTTTCTAGCTGGAGTTTTGGTCCTCTCTGCCTGCTGTTTCTTCCGCACAGCCAAATTATTGTGCATGTAGCTGCATTATGAAACCTATCTGGTTTGTTAGTCGTGGTTGGTCTAGTGTTAGCTGAACTCCTAGACTGCAGTATTGGTGGTAGAAAAGTGTTTGCTCTCAGAGGGAGACTGCCAGGGCTTGAATCTTGGCTTTGTAACTTAGCAGCCTTGTGAATATAAGTAGCTGTTTAACCTCACTAAGCCTTTGTTTCATTTGTCGAATGGGAATAATAATAATAATACATATCCCATAAGGTTCTTATCAGGACTAATCTATCAAAGGACTTAGTACCTGGCCCAAGACCTCTGTCAGTTCCTTGGTAAATGGTAGGCTCTGATGTTCACATGCCAGTAGGACTTACCATGCTCACCACCAGTCCCCTCCCTAGTTAGTAGATGACAAGTTAAAGCTGATAGATGTCAAGTGATAAGAATGAAAAGGATTGTATAGCAAAGGGGAAGAGCAACGATTGACAACTGGGAAGGCTGTTTTGCTTAGTATTAAGTAATCTTCAACATTTCTAAGACTTGGTTATTTTCTTTTTTAAATTTTGTGCCAGACAACCCTTTCTCTGAGGCTCTCATTGATTCATTCTGTGACCTTAAACTCATATTAATTGAGCATCTACTATGTAAGAGCATTGTGGCCAGGATTGGGCATCCAGGATTGGATGTGCCCTTGTGGAGCTTGAACTGTACTGAGAAATGCAAATGGATATTGAGTCCTACAGACTGAACTAAGGAGAGTATGTCAGCTGCAGGAACAGCTTATGCAAAGCCACAAGACAAAGGAGGACTTACTTGAGCATCAGAAAGGTGGCCAGTGTGGCTCTGGCAGGGATGAGGGGAAGATGAGATAAAAGAGGTAAAAGCACAGTCTCAGACAAGCACAGGCTCTACACAGAGCAGAGTAGTCTCAGAGAGAGTTACATAAAGATCACCCAACTGCTCTGTAAAGGTAGAGAAATGCGGACCAGAGGGTGGGAGGATAGAAAGGGTGGGAACTGAGATAATGGTGGGTTGAGTCTGGTTGTTGGCAGTAGAGATGGAGAAATGAGTAGATTTGAGGATAGTAAGGAGGCAAACCCAACAGAATCTCAGGATTGATTGGGTGGCTGAATTGAGGAGCTGGAGAAGAGGTGGTCTGCTTCACCTAAGACATGCAGGACTGAACAGCATCTGTGTGGCATTCCACGTGATAGGTTACGATTTTGGACCCTGGGGCTTGGAAGACAGGTCAATTCCTCTTACTGCACCAACCACTGGTACACGAAGACAGATTCCACATAACATGACCCATTTTCTCTGACCGTGGCTATCCCTGTTTGGAAGTTCTGATGTCATATTTCTCTGGCTTTTCAGGACTCCAGCCAGGCAATTCCTCTGGTGGTGGAAAGCTGCATCCGGTTTATCAGCAGACATGGTAAGCAGGGTTCCAGTCTTGTCCATATTTGTATAAAGATTGGGAAGAACTTCCAGGAATTCTTTGTAGAGTAAGAATAGGGATTACCTTCCCATCCTGATATTCTTAGAAAAGGAATAAAATCTTACTTGTTTACGTAATATTGGCTATGTCAGAATGACCACACCCGGACACCAGAAGATATTATAAGCTTTAACCCGGAATGGCATAGCCACTTCCCATGTGCCCTTCTCTAGCTTAGAGTGTGTTTCGATTCAGTTACTGTGTGAGAAGTTGTGATATGCTGCGGCGGTACTTTCGCCATTTCAATCGCCTTTGCATGGTGAGTATCTCCCAGGGCATAGCCTGACTGTTGTCCCACTGGCTTTCTGAACCACATTGGGATGGAAACAACTCCATGTCTAATGATGCACTGAGTCTAAAAAATACTCAGGTTTTTTTCTAGTTTGTTCTCTCGGGATACAACATCCCCAAGCACTCAGTAGCTGGTCCTAAAGTTGCACCCAACATTTGAGAGTCTGGAAGGGCTGGCGTCTTCTCAGCCTTAGGGAGAGTACACTAGCCTTTCTGTGTGGAAAAAAATCAGTCTTACAGAGTCACTCCTTACCAGCTACTGGCTTACTCTGACAGATCATAGGGATGGAAAGAATTGATTTTCTAGAAGAAAAGATAGAGCAGATATCTTAACTAGCACCATCAAGATGTCTAGGAAATGGGCTTCCGAAATTGTTTTTTGATATAAAATGGCCTTCCTAAAGGCTAAGGAGCAATGTAGAGTATTGCTGATCTAAATTCAGAGGCAGCCTTTCCCCTCCCTTCCCTCACCTTCCTCTCTCTTCTTAGACTGGGACATTGCATAGGTTCAGTTTTAGAACTGCAGTTATTTTAGCATTACAACTTATCCCACTCTCCACCAGCTGTATTTTTTTTTTCCTGGTGCTGGGGATTGAACCCAGGGCCTCATGCATGTTAGGAAATCACTGACTTACATCCCAAGCCCAAGCTGTAATTTTTAATGTTATCTCTATTTCTTGAAGTAAGAGTATTATACATTGCTATGGAACAGTCAACGAATATTTATCAAGCCCCCGATCAATGCTGAGCACCATGCATTGCCAAGTAGAAAATAAAAACAGGAGTAATACACTGTTCTTGTCTTTTAAGTGGTTTTATGATGCATTTGGGAGAAAATACGTGATAGGTTAAATAAAAAGAGGTGAGTGATGGTGATTTAGAATAGCAGAATAAGAAATTTCACAAGATAGTAATGATTAATGGTCACGTAGTTGGTACAGATAAGTCTGAAGTAAGTTCAGGAAAAGAGGAAGTATTTGTGCCTCAAGAACATTAGAAGATCTGATCTCTCATTCATTCATCCATGCATTTTGTCCATTCATGCATTTATTCAACAAAAATATATGCTGATTGCTTATTGTATACCAATAAAAAGTCTCTCCTGACCCTTACCTTTTGTGGAAGGACAGAAGATGATCAGTTGATTAGCCAGTAAATAAATTCACATGCAGTAGTTTAAGTGTTACTGAGTTTCATAAAGCAAAACAAGGTGAGGGGATAGAGAATGGGGCAGGGACACTGTTCTAGATGGGCTCAGGGAAAGACCTCTCCTTGGAAGGAAATATTTGAGCAGAGTTGTGGGGCTGTGAGCTGTGTGGATATCTAGGGAATGGAGAGAACATAAAGTACAGACACTGTTGGCGTGTGCAAGGAACACCTCATAGGAGGTCAGTGTGGCAAAAGCCAAGAGAGCGAAGAGGAGAGAGACAGGAGATGAAGCAGAGACCAGATCTTTTAGCCACTGGTGTTTAGATTTTATTCTGGATAAGATGGCGAGCCATGGAGAATTTTGAACAGGGGAACTTTTTAAAGGATTCTGGCTGCTGCAGGGAGATAACAGCACAAGAGAGAGACAGGAGGTTACTACAGGAGTAGTAACTACTGCAGGCAAAACATGGCAGTGGCCTGGCCTAGGGTGCTAGCCATGGTGGTAACTGACAAGTAGGGGTTTCAGATAGTGTAGCTTGTACATACCTGTCTGCACCTGTACAGGCACAGTGTACAAGGGGATGAAAACCCAGCCCAGTTCTGTGGCGAGGCTCTGGGAAAGGGCACACTCCTGATATATTGGTGATGGGAATGCAGACTGGTAGAACCCTTTTGGAAGGGAATTTGTAATATCTAACAAAACCACATGTGTACTTATGTTCTAATTCAGCAGTCCTTCTAGTTTACCATGAAGACACACCTTCAACAATATAAATATGTATATGCACAAGATTATTTGCTGCAGCATTGTAGTTGCAAAGTATTGGAACAAACTAAATGCCTATGCACAGAATAGTGGTTGCAAAAACTATGGTATGTCCATACAGTGGAGTACTATACAGCTGTGAAAACACAAGGAAGTGCTCTATGAAATGATATGGAGCGACTCCTAGGATATATTGTTAAGTGAAAAAACAAAATGTGAACAGCAGAGAGAAACTAATATTGTACTGGCCATTACAAGAAATACGCCAGAAGGGGGTGGAAATAATGGGGCAGTGGGAAAGAGGAGAGGATGGGCATCTCTTTGAGAATACCTGTTGGTATAATTGGACTTTTAGAACTACATTACTGTCTACATACTCAAAAGACAAATAATAAAAGGAGGGTGTGAGTAAAACCCAAAATGGAGTGCAAACAGCAGCTACTAAATCTGACTGTATTACAGTGAGTAACATAACCATACTGAAGGGGAATGAGGAAGGAGGTAACTTTGAAAACAATATTTTGACTGTATACTGTAAGTCTGAAATGAGCTATAAGTAATTATTATACAATTTTTGTTAGTCATTTTTACCAAAAATATGGACTAGCAATTCTGAAATTATTTGATATATATTCTAGCATTAATCAAATAAATATTGTTTTTTGTTTTGTTTTGCTTTGTTTTGTTTTGTTTTTGTCTTTTTGAGACCGGGTCTGGCTCTGCAGTTCAGGCTGGGCTTGAACTCACTTTGTAACCCAGGCTGGCCTGGAACTCACAGCAATCTTCCTGCCTCAGCCTCCCAAGTACTGGGATTACAGGTGTGCACCACTACAGCCGGCTCATTGTTGATTTTTTTTTTTTAATGTAAGATATATCAGCTGCTCAAAAAATATTTGTTCAGTTTTTTTTTTTTTTTTTTTTTTTGGCAAATACAGACTCAGAAGTATTCATGAAATCTCTAAAAAACTGTAGTTAAAATTCTTGTGTATGTAGTGTACTCCTGTATCCTAGGACTTGAGAGGCTGAGGCAGGAGGTGGTGGCCATCCTGAGCTTAATATTGAGACCCTGTCTTTGAAAATAAAATGTACATACATTTATGTACATTTAATAGGGATCATATACATAACTTCTGTGAATCTCAAAAGGACCCACTAAATGCTGAGAATGTTTTTATCTTTACTATTTTCATATCTCCTGCGTGGTAAATATTATAGACCCTGTTAACGGGGGATAACTGAGGCTCCTTGGTAAATGACAGGACAGGATAATCCAGGAAGACTTAAAGGAGCAGGAATGTCAGGAACTAGTAAAATGAAATCATGATATAGGAAAAACCTACTACTGTCATGAGGAAAGGAGCACAAGGATGGCTGTTGTATTAGAATCATCTCAGAGAACAGCTATTAGAAACACCTGCACCTGGTGCAAAGTGGAAGCTTTTATGACATTTCCAGATGACTTTGGCAATCTGATGGGTTTTACACTTTTAGTGTGTACAGAGAACAAGTAAACAAGATCATGGATACACCATTTTGATTATGCAAAGATTTACCTGACTTATAATAAAAAGCTAATTGATTTTCCCCCTTTCCTTTCTGGAAGAACATTGTTTCTGCTGTCAGCATTTAGGTGCTCAAAAGATTCTGAGTGTTGAACAAGAACTCAGGCTGGTCCTTTGGTACTCTAGGGAGACTGGAAACCAGACTGAGAGAGCTCAGTGCATTTCAGGCTAGGCACCTGATTTCCAACAAGCGCACATCTCTTTTCCTCTCGTCTTGAGCCCACAGGCCAAGGCTGCAGCTCTGGGTGGTCTCCCCTATGAAGAGGAACCACACTGGCGCTCTCTTGAGACGTTGTACGGTGCTCCACACACCCACTGGCCTGTCCCTCAGGTGATACTTTCTTGCACCGTTTCTGACAAGTCAGTGGGCCTAGGCCTATTTCTGTCAGAGTACTTGTTCTTTACATTCTGTTTAAACAACACTCTTTGGCTCTGGTATCTGCCAGATAGCCAACCTAGTAGTCCTCCACTGGTATTAATGGATGTTGCTGTTCCCTGCTATTCTGTGAGGAATACTCGGGAGATTCCCGTAAGAGGAGTAGACAGCTTAAGTCCTGTCACTAACAAGGTAATCATATTCCCTCTGCTTACTTCTTAATGCTATTTCAGATTCAGCATTTCAGTCTTGATTCAGCATTTCAGTCTTGTCTGTATGGTTTCCGTCCAAAGAGGTAGCTGATAGAACCCAGCTGCCCCTTCACTGATAGGGAAACACTGAAACAGCAGGGGTTATTCCTTCCTGACATGTCAAAGTTCCAGGATTGTGCCATCACAGAGAGATTTGGACAAAATGCCAGTGCTTAGGGCCCAGAGCTCCTGAGAAAGGCTGGGCATCCTTGCTGCACTTAGAGATGCTAGACCAGCCCAAACCCTGGGCCTGGCACTGAAGACGTGCTTCCTGGATTTCTCCCTGGGTTTGCAGGGTGTGTGTGTGTGTGTGTGTGTGTGTGTGTGTGTGTGTGT